CGCCGCCCCGGCCTGGCGGGTCCCCGGGGCCGCCCCGCCCCGCCCTCAGCCCGCCGCGCGCCCGGGGGGCGGGCTCCCATTGGCCCATCGCCGCGCTCGGGGCTCCTTTGTTTCATTGACTTTTTTGTGAATGGAGCTCGGCGTCGGGGCGCGCCTGCCAATCCCCGCTCCGCACTCAGGAGGAGCTCTGGCCTCCGGAGCCAATCGCATGGCAGCACTCCGGAATTCATTCACGGCCGGAGCTCCCATTCATAAAAAAACCTCCCCGAAGTTCATTCATAAAAGGCGGTACAGGCGCTCCAGCCGTGCCGTGCTGAGCCTGCGCCTTCGGGCTCCCTCCCGGCGTGACACACAGAATCACAGAATCTTCTAGGTTGGAAGGGACCTTAAAGATCATCTTGTCCAACCGTCAACCTCACTGACAAAAATAGACACCCACACAACAAACAAGGAGCATCATCACTAAACCAGACCTCCCAGCACCACATCAACCCGTCTTTTGAACACCTCCAGGGATGGGGCCTCAACCCCCTCCCTGGGCAGCCCATTCCAATGCCTGATAACCCTTTCAGTGGAAATTTTTTTCCTAATATCCAGCCTGAACCTCCCCTGGTGTAACTTGAGGCCATTTCCTCTCATCCTGTTGCCTGTGACTTGAGAAAAGTCAGGGGAGGTTCAGGTTGGATATTAGGAAAAATTTCTTCACTGAAAGAGTTATCAAGCATTGGAACGGGCTGCCCAGGGAAGTGGTTGAGTCACCATCCCTGGAGGGATTTAAAAGGCATGTGAATGTGGTGCTGAGGGACATGGTGGACTTGGCAGCGTCAGATTTACGGTTGTGCTCAATGATCTTAAAGTTGGTTTCCAACCTAAATGATTCTGTGATTCCTGGTAAGAGTGGTCACTACAGTTAATGAGTGCTGCATATGTGTGAATGAAAAAGCAGAAGGGGACAGTGTAGATATGAGCTACAGTGACTGACTGTGTGCATTTGACACAGCAAAGTTACCATTTGTACCACCAGGCAGTAATATTACAGGGTTTTTGCTCTGACTGAGATGTGTTGCCAGTACTGTCAATTATTTTTTTTCTATTTATTTGAATTAAATTAAGATCAACTCATTCCTGTTTATATTGGAACCCTTCTGTAATGTGAATGTAGATACATGTTTATATATGTGTGTGTATTTATATCTGTGCATACCTATATAGGATGCAGAAGATGAACTACATAAAAGGTTTCTGAGGGCTGCAAGGAGGCAGGACCTGGCACAAACTTTGCAGGTTTTTTATTGCTTTTGAGGCTGTAAAAAATGCCATACAGCCTAATTAGAAGGACAGTATTAATTAGGGCTAGACATACTGGCCACTTTTGTTTGTCAAAGCAATTTACTAGCAGTAAAAAGCTAGAAAGATTGAATCCTAATGCTAAGAAAGTCACAAAGCAAATGGACACATGGAACTAAATTGCTAAATTTATCATTTAAAATACCTCATGATTTTGAGTCATTTTCAAGAGATTTGGGGAAGAGGTTCTTTTATTGTTGCTGGTTTTAGTTTCAGTTAGCTGGGTTTGACATTAATATAAACTGATACGTTGTTCCTTTTGTCTCTAGGAAACATTCTGATTCCTCAGAGTAGGATTCAATAGGCTACTTCTGGGTCCCAGTATCCAGGCAGTAATTAGTGATAAAAAGAGAAGCAGCATAAAATTCACAAAAACAAAAATATTTTTCTGTTGCCCACTGATCTGGGCAACTTAGTCCAGTTATTTGACACATTTCATTTATATTACAAACTCTTAGGCTGGAAACAAAAAGCACACAGTGCATCATCTTAAAAACAAAGAAACCATTAAGAAACACAAGATGCAGCAGTGGAAGGGGGCAGTGGTTTTGATGGCCCAGCTGATGCTGGTGCTGAGTTAAGTATCACAAGGTGAAACTGATGCTGCTGACGATGAGCAAGGCCTGTCTCTGATTATCCCTTGATGACAACAATGGCCTTGGGGGGGGATGAATCATGCTATAAATCAGTTTGCCTGTCCACCTACCTTCTTCTGTGTCCTGTACTCATCCTGGTGATCTATGTGAATCCTTCTTTCTGTTTTCATAAAGTTGCAATAGTGAAAATATCGTTGGTAAATAATTTGGAGGATGCAGAGTTTATAAACAGAGCATAAGAGAGGAGAGGTGGCTTGGATTCCTGCAAAAGCTACTGACTTCCCATCAGAAAATGTTCAGGATAAGCAAAAGGTTAGTAGAAATTATAAATAGCAAACTACGTAGCTTGCTTGCTGGATAGCTTCTCCTCTGTTCCTCATGTGCTTGTTGTAAAAAAAAAGTCACATTTGTTTTAAAAAATAATAAATGTGGGAATACAATTTTAAAGTTTCTCTCTGCAAACCCAGCAATTAATATTCAGGGTGATTAATTACCTTCTGTTAATTTTTTCTTTAAGTGTAGAGTGCATGAAGAATTCAGAAGTGATACACGAACCAGAGGAGAAATTATTATTTCTTATAAAGTATTAGCAATAGATGTATTCCAACATTGTAATTCCTACTACCTGAGATATTGCATTCTACTGTCACTGCAGCCCAATAACCCGTAGAACTTTGCTTGTGAGGTTTGCCATGCCATGATTTTCATTTCTGGGTGACTTTCTCTAGTGAAAGTGGTCCCAGTAAGCAAGGTCTGGGCAGGTGTCTATAACCTTTGTGGCTGGCTGAGACACAACACAGAGACTCTGGAGAAAGCAATCTTCTGTAAGGCCTTGTGAATAAAATGCCCCTTTTAGGTATTCATGCCAGCTACTTTTTATAATCTTCTGAATGAGAGAAGGCAGTTCAGGCACTTTGTCTGCAGGAAGGAAGCAATTAAATTATTAGCACTTTGAGAAATTAAATGATGTAAGTTATGGCAGAATAAGTTTAGCAAAAATGTTATAATGTAAGAAAACAATTAAAAAGAATTATATAAGGTTGGGTGGCTTCTTTATTGTGATAGAGTGAGCAGTTAATTGATTTTCACACCGCTATAATGTATCAGGGCAGTTGTGAGAGCAAACAGAGCAATCTCTGCTCAGGTTGGAGGAGATGAAGTGTAGATGGAGGGACATGTCTTTTAGGGAAACAGGAATGAGTAGCAGTCTCCTACTCTCAATTCCTTTTCCCTGTATCCTTTGAAGAGATGTGAAGTACAGAGAAGTTCCCTATCATTCTCTTCAGGTTTCAAGGCCTATTGCTGGGAGATTACATTTAGCTCTTCTCCCGACAGGGATGTGTGATGCAGAGGTACTTCAGAACTAGATCCCCAAGATGGGAGCAGCACAGAGGTTGCTCTATCAGCACTGGTGATGGAGTCCTGCAGCTTTCTATGAGCCCTGCCACCGGCATCCTGTTTCTTTCTGAGAGTACTCCTGAATCTGCAAACCCTCCTGGGCTGTTAGTCAGATGTTTTCTGAAAGAAGCTTGAAGAAAATTACATCCTTTCCCATAAGCTCACTGCACTTTGTTTAGCACAAAGAGAAGCATGTAGTTTCTGGCCAGGAAAGCAGCTGTTTTAGAGGAAAGGAAATCAGGCTCGAAGTAGCAAGTTGCAAATCACTTGTTGTATTGTTGTTCTGAAGAATCAGTTCTTTAAAATCTTTGAAGATAATTCTGTGCTTGCTGCTACTCATGGATTTTACAGTATGCACAGGCAGTACTGCCTCTTCTGCTTCGTTTTGAGTATGGCTCATACCTTTGCTGGGACTGCTTGGGTCCTGCCCTGCAGCTGTATGAAGCTTAAAAACAAAACCCAAAAACCTAAACTAGTATCAGGTTGTAGATGGCATTCCCTAGAGCAGATGGGGAGCTTGTGTGAACACAGGCGACTCCCCAGTCTGGCTCTGGGGCTGGGATGAGCATTTGGACAGGAGACTGACAGGGAGGAGTCCTGCTTTCAACTCCCCCACTGTCTGCATCTGAGTGAGAGCTCTCAATCTTCTGTGCCTCAGTTTCTCATCTGCAGAGGGGTGAGGTATTTGTATACTTCATGGATGCTGGGGGTGCATCATTAATTATGGCATGCAGAGTACTGAAGTTGACCAGAAAGGGGAAAGAATTGGGTTAAATCTGTTGCAATGAAGGTTATAATGATTATAAACATAATAATCACTTTCTTATAATACAGTTTGGCACTTTCATTGCTCTAATTGCAGAAATCATAGCAACTTCCCCCTAAATATCTACGTTACCACTTAAAGGCTTATGCAGGTGAAAGGTATTCATAGGCCATCACTCTGCAAAGTGTCATGGATTTGGGGAAAAGTTGGGAAGGCTGGAAGAGGGTCACTCAGCTTGAGCAGCATGAAGAATATGATGCTGAGAAAAGCTTAGAGGAGTTTAGAGCACGGAGCCTGCACTGTTCAGGAGTCAAAAGGGAGCTGTACCTTTTTTGTAGGGCATTTGAAGAAACGCCTACCTTGATTGCCAATTTGTGCTTCTAACAGATGTGACCTTGACTCCCAACCTTTCTTTCGTATTGGGTGAAGCAACAGTATGAAGCATTAAAAGTCAAAAGTATGAGGAGAGGGCCCCGTAATGTAGTCAGGTCTGCAAGCTCTGCTCTCTTTCACTTTCTTTGCTCTACTCCTCAGTTCTCACAGTTTATAAAAAAAAAAAAAGTAATTCTGCCCCTAAAACACTCTGCTCAGTTTTGTCTTGAGGGTGGTGATCTCCTGGCTTTGTCTGCTCTTGTGATGCTGGCTGTTGGCTGTTATGCAGCTCTTCAGTTGGGGGATATTTGTGTGAACTGCAGGGATGAATGTGGAGATGCCACTGGAATAAGGTGCCACATGCAAAAAGTAGGGGGTTTTGTCAGCAACGTTTGGCCACGCAGCTGACTTTTACTGAAAGGAAAAAGGACAAAAGCAACTGAGGGTAGTAAGGAGGTAAAGAAGGTGCTAGTAATTATTTTGCACTCGATCAAGGCAGGAGAGA